TATATATGCTAATTTATTTAAAATATAAAATATTTCCAAAATAATTTCTCAAGCAATTGACGTTAGCTAATTTCATCTTGCTAATAACTTATTAAAGTTAATAAGTTTTTAGCAACTTCTTAATTCAAATTTCAAATTCAGATTATCTTCAATTCAATTATCATAATGAATGAACAATAAGCATTTCTTAACAGAAAAAAAAATGATTTCCAATTTCAAAGTTAAAATTTAATTATAGTGCTTTTAAGTTAATTTTAATAACTCATATATTTAAATAGCTCGTATATTAAAATTTATGAAGCGTAACGTGAAACATTGTAAAACCACGTGCATTGAAACATCTTTACACACAAAATTTTTAGACGTACTTTATTTACTTTATTTAATTTATTTAAATGAAATGTTTTTTTTACAATTAGATGATGAATTGAAAAATGTGTTTAGTGATAACGTGACCTTTTCCGTTTTTTCTTCAACAAAATAACAGGCTTAAGACAAAAACAGAAAACATCACATTAAAAAAAATACCACGATATAACACAGTATAATTTACTATGTTTCATGATTTTTATTCTGTAGATTGCTGCGGCGATACGTAAGTACCGAATGATATATGTATGTACATTTAAGTGACAGAAGTAACGAGCAATATTTATGTACAAGTACATCGAATATAAACACTTAACACTCGCCACACCTTACACATTATTATCTTAGTTAATTCGTAACGTTGTACCGTTGTCTCATTAAATGCTATTTTAAGCAAGACTACATGATTGAAGAGTACGGGGAATTTTTGGCACAGTTTGTCATCTTAATAGAAATAAAACGAGTTTGTTAAATAAATCCTAAATGTAGCTTATCAAGAAATATGGAAGAAATGCTTATAATCCTCATTATAATATTGTGTCTGTAGCCAAGCAGTTGTTATACCAAATGCAAAAGTTGTTTTTAAAAAATATTCGATGTCTGACGTCAAAATGATATGTGTCGTGTAACACTAAGTCGATTCCCTCGCAATCCATCGAAAGTGCGTACGCAAAATTCAATTAATATCACGTTGCAACCTGTAGCAATCTAATTATAGCCGATAATTATTGGCTTCCTATACACATACACGATAGAAAAACTATCATGCAATTTCAAAAGCGGGTTATATCACAAATTTAATAGCAGCGATGGATGCAATAATGGATTTATGCAATACATATATTACAATTCTCTTTGTTTTTTAACAAAATCAAAATAGTTTTTATTTTACGTTCGCGCATATTATGAACAACCACCCCTGTGTACATTTGAGAAAACTAGAACTGTACTTTTTTTCACTCTTCTGTAAATGCATTCTTCTCATTCACACGTTATTTTTTTGTACACTCATACTTTTATTCTCTCACATTCTCTTCTGCGAACTCTTTATGTAGAAATAAAATATGTTAGTGGGCACATCGATAAAATCATCATTTATAACAAACAAGTCAAATTATAAAGTCTTATATTTTTTTTAATCATTTACGTATAAATATTGTTAAATATGTATATTAAAAATTTACTACATATTCCACGATTATTTTACACAGATTTGTTATTCTATCCCGATAATGACTTAAGTTGGTTAAGTAACTCCCTTTTTTCATTTTCAATAGACTCCTCTGATATTTGAAGAGCCTAATAAGGATGTAATAAAGTGATCCCTAGTGCTTCTCTCATTTATCAAATCATGCTCCTTATCGGAAATGGAGATATGAACAAGAAAAAAGAGAAAGAAAAGGATGACATTGGATTAATCGTATTCTAGGAGGATGAGTCACGGTGTCATTGTATAAAAATCTAAACTGACCTTAAACGTGTACTAAAAAATATAATTGCTTCTGTTCAAGCGAGAGGACCGATTTATCGGTGATGGTTCCAATAAAGGTCAACCTCTGTGCGCTCGGGATATACTTTCGTTGACGCCTCCGTGACTCATTAATTCGGATCGTCAGTCGGACCAAACGCTGTTATTCTTGACGTAACGGACATTTGCTGCTATGTACGTGGAATCTATTTTTCATTAACAATAACTAAATAAATGATATTACTAATATAACAGAACACTTGCATTGCCGTTGGTTCGTCTTGCGTAAAATGCAAGAACTCTATCATCGTACCGTAAGATTTCAATGCCGAAGGAAGAATTGGAGAAATAAATATTCGTCGTATATGCTTCATGTGAATTCACAACGAATTAAATGCGTCGACGGACCGACTTCCTCGCCGAGAATGAATGCTATATACTGTCAATCGCGATGATTCACGTGCGCATTACTGATGGCAATTTATCAGGCATGCACATCGCGTATATCCTGATTACTCTGGCAAGTCCAATGCTCGTATTTGTAAGAATAATCCCATTGGCGACAAACGAAACTGAAGACCAGCCGCGGTTTGCGTTTACTGCCCACTTGCAATGTTAAACGCGCGTAACGATATCAATCGCAAAATTTAGACGGATATCTCATAAACGGCACACATCCTTTTCTCATTGGAATATAAGACATGCAGACTATTCGGCGGCTCTCGTAGAATCTCCGTCCAGCCGCAGGATGGTGCGGAGACCGGAAAGGTGGGCTATACGGATATTTCATAGTTCATATCGTATACGCTTGCACGATCCGGTGTCGGTGTAGTTGGTCTTTGAGATCTCGGATCGTTGGGTGCCGAAACCATTTCCATGGAATCGGTCATTTCGAGGGCTCTGACGAAGGACATCGGTCGACGCCGTGCATCTCCCGAGGTTGGTGTGGTTGGTGTTGCCATCGTAGTCGCTTTTCGTTTAACTTGCGGCGACTGATGTGGTTGATGTGGCGGGAAGACGGGCACTCCACCTCTCAGAGCTGGATGATAGGCTGCCCTAGGAGCGTTCGTCGTGTATTGCGATTGTTGAGTCGGGCTCGTGGGATTGGAGCGATAATAGTCGTACGGCGGAGGTCGGTGGGAAGGTGATTGATGTGCTGTACTGCTCACCGCTCCTCCAGGAGGTGGACCTGGATAGCTGCCGGGAGAATTGTCTTTCCACATGTAAACACCGCGCTGCGGCGAACCAGCCAGTTCGCGTATATTGTCGACCGTGTTGTTGGTTCTCGAATATGGATGATCCGTGCCCTGTCGTACAAGCTCGCTTTCTGACAAGAAACGTCGCTGCGGACTGTAACCAGTAATGACAGAACCGGGAACGCCGACTCCAGTATTTCCCTGCTGTACATCATAATATGTCGGCGCTTCATTCACGCCTATGAAATCCGGCCGACGAACCTGCGTCGGTGTACCCGGGTTTGATCTGTAACAGACACAACGAATCTTAGATTTCACGGATCTTCCACGACATAAGATGCTTTCAATAATCGACAAATGCACAGTACAGTGAACCAAGATGAATATGCAAGTGCTTGAGCATTGTAGCCATACAAATACGGCTCTGGCGAGACATACAGGAGAGAGAGCAGCGCATCATTCCTGTTAAGAATTTAGCATCTATTCAAGAAACATAAAAGATAGCGAACCTAAGAAATATGTGTGTAGGAGCATTTTGTGTAATGTGTGTATGTTGTGTGTATGTATGTCATATGCGAATGTATTTTTACAACCATGTTTTTCTATATATACAAAGATATATGCAAGAAAGCATAATTGTAAACTACGGTATGTCCTCGTAGGATGAAGTTCGTGTTTACCTGCAGTAGGTTGCAACATGATGGTAGAAAGCAGCTCCTTGCAGTTACCACCCCCTGCAGTGGGACACAAACTTATCTATATACCATATATCTTGTAATATGTACATGCAGAGAGACTAATCGTCTACAATATTTATTGTAAGCTACATTGCGCAATTTTCCTTTTTGATACGTTCCTTCGTCCTCCGAAAGGCGAGAACAGTGGTGACAGAAAAGGAGGAGAAAGAAGAGCAAGAGTGAGATTTAACAGTGAGGGACAGGAGATCTTGACAAAACAGGCCGACATCATATCGAAGGGTAGCAAAAAGGATATCATAAGAGGAATATCGTTCACTTTGTATTGGCAGCGTGCTCAAGAGATGCATTGTAACTATTACTAGTGTGGCGCTTCCCTCTTGCTCTCTACATTGAGATAATTTTGTGCAATGTGAAAATCGCGATATATGTGTATATATATATATATATATATA